GTCAATAAGAAGCTGCGAATAAGAAGCTGAATTCAGCCTCGTCAACAAACCTGTCTCCAGGTCAGTGGAACTCTCCCTTACACAATAATTACCTGGACATTTTTTATGGGTTTTTCAGTGTACGCATTTATTTTTTTATCTTTTACGTATTTACATACACAAAAATCAATCAAAAAAGTTTAAATCTAGGATGACACGATTCTTTTTTATCTTTATACCTTTTTCAAATGCTCATTTGATATAGCCTAGACATCTTTCAGTATTGGGGCTGGATCTTACTTTCTTAGAATTATAGTTGCATTAATTTTGGGTGTAATGCTGCTTTTGAATAACAGCTAGATTTGTTTTCATCCAGAGCCCAAACTGCCTGCTTGAAGATGAACACGGACGACGCAATAAAAGTCTCCATGTACAACAAAGGTACTGTAACGTTAATCTGTTTCTACTTTCTAGGTAACGTTAATATTGGTAACAGTTCATTTTAGAGTTCAGCTCTCACTTTTAACTAGCTACAAACATTTCAGCTGTTAATCTAGAATGTCTGGGATCAGCCATACTAACACTCTAGATCAGTGGTTCTCAAACTTGTCCTGGAGGACCCCCAGCCCTGTACATTTTGTATGTCTCCCTTATCAGACACACCCAATTTAGTTCTTGCAGTCGACACTAACAAGATGAGTTGAATCAGGTGAGTTAGATGACGGAGACAGGGCAGGTTGTCCTCCAGGACAGGTTTGAAAACTCCTGCTGTAGTGTTACTGTAATATTGTGTTCTATGCTTTACATTTGCTACTTAAGTGTTCATCTGATTATGTCTTTAGAATTTAAAAGTTAATACTCTTTCAGTAATTCATAATGGGGTAATGGGAAAGATATAAGCATTACACAAAAAAATAAATAAATAACAGAGAGAATAACAATAATAACAGTTATTCTCTCTATGCAATTTTTCAATGTTTCAAGTGATGCAGGCGTTTTTTCCCTGTAGCTTTTTTAAAATTAAAAAAGCATAATTTTTTCATAATGTTTAGTGAAATTATTTGGTAGTCTGAGGTGGGATGGGAATTAAAAGGGGGGCACCAGATTTTTTTATAGGTTTAAAGGTGGGGCGTGACCAAAAAAGTTTGAGACCCACTGATATAGATACTTATAAGGTGTCATAAGTATACTTTCAATAAATTAGTCTTTACAGAGTTTCTGAATACTAATTGGCTGGCTAATTTAGAAAGTTTTCAGTATTGTTTGTGATCTTAAGATGTAATATGTATTTGTATTCTTTCTGTTTACACTGTTGTATGCTCCTCTGTTATAGGCCATGAGGAAGAACTCTATCATGCTCACAGAGAATAGAGCTCAGTGCTGCTAACTGGGAGAGCAGCTGGAAAACTGGAGGAGAAGAACAGTTGAACACCTATTAATACAGACGACTGTATTATTTTTCTGCAAGAACCACAACAAGCAAAGACAATGATGAGCACTCTGAGCAAACAACAGTCAGACGCTTGATTATGCACTGCACTTTACTGAGTTCTTCAGCATGTGATGCTGAGCATTTATTGTTTGTAAAACTACTAATAAATTAAGTGGATGCCCTTAACAAACCTGTTAGATTTTGATGTTTTATTTTTTAGATTAATACTATTGTATGTTTTAAGCACATAATAGCTAAGCTTTTTTTTTTTGAGGGTTTAGGATTCTGGGAACAAAAATAAAACTTCCCGCTAAAAACTTTGTAAGAATGTTAGGGGATAATGTTCTCATAATGTTGTGACTAAACATTTATAGAAGGTCATCACAGAACTTTTTTAGAGAATGTCATCCTACCTTTTAGAAGAACGTTCTAAGAACAAAAATAAAACTAAAAATGTATAAGAATGTTACGGAATACTGTTTTAACAATGTTGTCACTAAACAATTTTAGAATGTTTTTAGAGAATGTTATCCTATCTTTTGAGAGAATGTTCTGGGAACAAAAATAAAACTACCCGCCAAAAACATTGTAAGAATGTTAGGGAATGATGTTCTAACAATGTTATGACTAAACATTTTTAGAATGTTGGAAGAGAATGTGATCCTATCTTTTGAGAGAACGTTCTGGGAACAAAAGTCAACCATCCGCCAAAAACATTATAAGATTATTAGGGAATGATGTTCTAACAATGTTATCACTAAACATTTTTAGAATGTTTTTAGAGCATGTTATCCTACCTTAGAGGAGAACGTTCTGGGAACACAAATAAAACTACCCGCTAAAAACATTGCGAGAACAATCCAGGGTAATGTTCTTAGAACATTTTTAGAACAAAAAAAGAAGAGCCGTTTAACGCAAATAAGCAGTATTTATATTGATTTTGGTTTTACAGCTGTTTTTAGACATTTGTGCGTGAGTACAATCTCATGTGTTCATGGTAAAAATCATTGATTGAAGCATCCAAGTGGCTAATAGAGTGTTCAGTATTCTTACATGACCTTGAGGACTCCCTGATTGTAGGAAAAAAAGGTCTCCTTAATGGCGTAAACTGTGAAAGCATTGTACAGATTTGCTGCAACCTTCACTTTGGCTCACCCAACCCTGAAATCAAAACCCTGGAAATGCAATGTTTTATAAAACACATGCACCGCACAGCAACTTTTCAAACTCCATTGGAAGCATGTGAGTAGGGAAAACAGGGAAAAGTGGAGAAGAAGGGTGAACTAAATGCATTATTATTAATGACCAGAGAGTTTTTGCTTTGCATGTGTTACAGCATAGCAAACAGATCAGTTCCAGTAAAACAGATACAACTCACCGAGAAACAACACATGCTGGGTTCATTCAGAGGGATGCATGCAGGGCCGTTTCTAGCCAATTTGACGGTCAGATTGACAGTACTCTAGCCCAATAATGTTGGGGGATCCAGTGGGGGCAGTCATATTTCAGGGTGACCGAGCCACTCTTTATCACAACCCTGCTAAAAGTGCCAGTCTGTGCGTTCATTGGTGCCCCTTCAGCTGGTGGCGCCCTAGGCGACCGCCTAGCTCGCCTATGCCTAGAAACGGCCCTGGATGCATGTATAGTCAGGTTATGAACTTGTAATGTAATGTATTAGAGTGCAGGTGGATTGGGGTCTGGGTATACGGCTAGCCTGTAGGTATATGTTCAGAGTTGTAGAGGAAATGCAGTTATTAATGCTCATGTGGGCATCGCTTTATGAAGAGTAGAGTAGCTGAGTCTGTATGGGTGATTTTTAGTGAGATTTTAAAGTGTTACAACTGTGCTTTAGTGTTTTTGATGTGCTGTTGTGGGTGTTGTCTTCATGCTGCTTTGCTGATGTGCTCAGCATGGGATTTCAGCATTGTTATTTATGAGTCCAATAATAGCTGTGTCGTCTGCATATCAGAAGATTTTATTGAGCTGTGATGGGATGTGAAGTGGTTCATCTAGAGAGAAAACAGCAGAGATGAATGTTAAGTTCTTAAAGCTGAATGCTGATTGTCATATTCACTATTGTTCAGGGTTTGAGACTGTAATATACAGCTATTTTTTTTGTCTGATATTTTACGCAGTCTGTCATTTTTAGTAGTTCAGCACATAATACTTTGTATGGACTTATAAAGGCTTAATGTATTAATATTTCTGTGACAGTTTCTGGTTATTTGAAAGAGTGGCCCTAACAAGTTTTTGGAATAAAATAGAACAGGATAGAATAGAATAGAGTTTTTATGTCATTGTGTTAGACCAAGAGGATTTTATTTAACAAAATGAATCATTATATACATTAAAAATCATGTAAATAATTAAAATAAAAGATATGCTGCCTTTGTTTAATAATGAAAACAAATTTTTCCAAATCTGTATGACTTTTTTTTCTCCTTTTTTATGACCCCCAGACATTTAAAGTTCTTCTTTTAAGAAAGCCATACAGATTTAGAGTTACATGAGGGTGAATGAATTATGCAGAATTTTTATTTGGGGATGAACTACACCTGTGATTAAAAATCACCAAATGTTTTGGTGATCAGCATTAAATCATCATATGATGATCATTTCATCATTTTAATGTTTTCAGAGCGTAAATAGCATGTTATTTACAATTAAATGAAAAAAAAAAAGCTTTACAGTTTAAATTTATGTTCAGTGCAATTAGTTGAAACTTGAACTTTAGTTGAAGAGTAATATCTTTGCCACTTAAGTAGGACTTAAGTTAATCTTTATATGTAATTTCATAATTATTCTATTGTCATTGAAATATGATTAAAGTGTACAGCTGAATCTACTGACAAGTATTTATGATGAACTAAAATACACTTTAATGTAATTTCTACTGAAACGTGTACATCATGTACTAGAGATGCACTGATTGCAATTTTCTTGGCCGATTCCGATTTCTGATATTTGTTAGTGTGATCTGCCGATACCGATTTTTGCCGATTCCGATTTTCTTTCTAAGAACTATAATTGACAGCATATACAAACAAAAAAAAAAAAAAATCAACTTTTCTTCAACGCAAAGTTTTATTTTCATAAAAACACAAGTAAAAAGTCAGTAATAAAATAAGAACAAATAAAAAAAAATTGCAAACAACAGCACAAATAAATGCAATAGAATAAAGAGAGCTATGAAACTAAGTTTTTCAGGTTAAGTAAGTTTTTATTCAGGTAAGAAATACTACAGAAATTAAAGTAATCAAATGTAAAACACCACATCCAGTGTTATTTTACATTTGATTACTTTAATTTCTGTAGTCTTCATTGTAAAAATTAAATACAGATGAATGCTTACCATTAAAGTTATAAAACGTATTCAGTCAAGAGCAGAAAGTGGTTCTCTTTTCTTTTGTTCTTTGATTAACATGACAGACTGGCGGCAGCGGCTGCTGTCAATGCACGGATCCAATACACCCTTGTTTTCTTTCTTTCTCAACTCTTTACGTTCACTTAAGACAAAACCGATTGTATTTATGGGATATTTTGATATAATTCGGTGTGTATTTGTCCATTCGAATGTGTAAGAATGCGAGAAAGAGAGCTCAGTCCAGTGTTCGCGTAGCCTATGTAAGAGGTGGCTTTTGTGCATGCGCTTTGTGTGTGCGCTGCACAGAAAACAGCACGCGAGTGCAGAAATTAGTTCTATTTCGTCTTCTTGCAGTTGATTCTTTTGAAATCGCAATAAATGAG